GTAGTCAGCTTATCCGTTCTCCACACCCCTCTGTTACTATGTTCCTATCGTAGGTTGACGCCACTATAGATACCATGGATTGAATTCCATTTTAAGTTTACAGGATCTTGGGGAAACATCATATCTGGGTTACCTCCCAGCAAGGACTTGATATCTGGGTTACCTCCCAGCAAGGAATTTATCTGGGTTACCTCCCAGCAAGGACTTTATCTGGGTTACCTCCCAGCAAGGACTTTATCTGGGTTACCTCCCAGCAAGGACTTTATCTGGGTTACCTCCCAGCAAGGACTTTATCTGGGTTACCTCCCAGCAAGGACTTTATCTGGGTTACCTCCCAGCAAGGACTTTATCTGGGTTACCTCCCAGCAAGGACTTTATCTGGGTTACCTCCCAGCAAGGACTTTATCTGGGTTACCTCCCAGCAAGGACCTTATCTGGGTTACCTCCCAGCAAGGACTTTATCTGGGTTACCTCCCAGCAAGGACTTTATCTGGGTTACCTCCCAGCAAGGACTTTATCTGGGTTACCTCCCAGCAAGGACTTTATCTTGAACCAGGATCTCAGTTGTCCGTTGTTACCTTTTCTCTATCATTTATTCTGCAGTAAGGCGTAATTGTAGTAGCCTTCAGCAGCAAGATGTCCCAACGTCGGTCGTAATCCTCGTCGCCAATGTTAACGGGGTTCTTCTCTTGTATTGTTTTGGGAACAACGGAAACAACAGTTTAGGAGAAGTGGTTTAAAATAAAACTAAAACTAACTTTTACAACACAAAACATCTGTATTTATATTACCTACCTTGCAGGTCTTAATAACTATTTTAACGTCACACTAATGTTAGTGCACGAGCTGACCGGGGTTAAATGAGGCTTAGTCCACCTGCTATGGTCATGTGACCTAGGTCACATGACTTACAACCAATGGACGGCTGCCCCACCTATTGTTGGACCAATCGTAAAATTCGCGAATATTCTGCACCCATATTTTAGAACGGCAATGTTGACACTTGACAGGTCACGATTGACCGGTCACAATTGATGAACCACCTGTTCCCATGTCACTATCATCTAATCCTATAACCTAACATAATGCATGCAGATATATATTTTAACCCCAACAATATAAATCTTATTTGGAAAACTGGTATGGGCTGCTATATTTCCTGTATGTGATGGATCATCTCTAAAATGAAGTCCTTACTCAAATGTAAAACCATTTCAAGAGGTTAATCTCCAAAGCTCTGACTGTGAACTATGACTTTCCGTTTAACATGAGCTTAGTCGCCCAATGTGTATATTAATGATAAGTTACTGGGCGGCGCTCAGCCTGTCATTCCGCCTAATCTCTATTCATATGTTTATGAACATTATAGCCTGGGGTCCCCAGGTTAATGATAAGCTAAGCCGGTGGTCACTTGTGATCTGCCTGTACTGGTCATAACTGATGCGGCAGCAGAATATCTTTGATAACGTTTGTTAAACCAATATTTACGTGAAATATGCAGCAAAATGAAAAAAAAGACGTGTGTTGTCATACGTTGTAGACCTGCCGCGCACACGTGCTACTTAGTGAAACGACAATGTGGGTCACGACGTGTGATACTACTTAGTGTGTGAGGGTCATGTACCATGTAGCAAAACAATGATCACGCTGCAACATGCCTAACATATTCAAAGATTCAACACGGAAATGAAAGACAGGTAGTAACTGTCCGGGGTCTAGAATAACAACCACTATTTAAAGCCTGCCTGCCTAGGTCGATCCATTTATAGACTGGAACGAGTTTCGTGACAGTCCTTCTCTCCATTTATGATTTATCTCATCATTCATGAGCAAACGTAGCTCTCATGAGGGTGATATTCCTAACAATCCAAGAATTACCCTCATAGAATCTTTTAAAATAGGTTTGCTAATTGAGGCAGAGTATTCAATATTATAACTTAACGATATTACTAAATAAAAATAAGCAACCACATGTTTATTGTGTATAACCTTTGGTGTGTGACTCAATTTCAGTTTGTTGAATAATTCATTTGGCAAGATTCAAATTCATTTGTGTTTTTTTTTTAATCAAATATCGATAGTATTAAAAGTAAAGTCTGCCAATCGAGTATCAGCTTGTATTGCTATCCCAACAATTCGCCAATGCAGTCTTTAAGTTCTCTCATCTTGGACTATCCAACAGCGTAGTATACAATGTTACCTTACCTTTTAGTTAACACGACAATTAACTTACAAGGTCTATTTAAGAGAATTTGCAGGTTTATTTCCGTAAAGGTCCATAAATGGCAGGATTATGATAACCCTAACGAGAAATTGTTACTCTATTAAAAGGTACGGTGTAGCTAACATTGTAACAGAAGTATTTTTTTATCGCATTCAGTTATGATTAAGAATTTTATCAGTTGCAGATTAGCATTAATGCTAGGTATACGCTCGCTATAAAAGTATAAAATGCAAATACCTGTCTTTCATATTTATTATTTAGTGTCTAAATTGTATTTTAGCAATCTTTTTTCGCTCTTATGAGTTGGTCGATCATATAATTTGATAGTTGGGGATGAAGTGAGAGTCTCCACTCAGTGTTTAAAACAAATAATTGCCTTTGTCATGGACGAGATGTTACAGAAACTTCTTACATAGCTTAATAAAATGTAATAGATTTTGAGGGCCCCCGGTTTGTCCCTCCTTTCTATTATCTATATATTGTTATTTTATATACGTAGTCGGTTCAGTGTGTTTTGGTCCGGGCTTTACCTGCTGGCCCTGTCATGGCTCTCTAGCTTGGGCAGGTTTGACTTATGTATATTATATATATATATAATACATATAATAGATTTGTAGTGTTGTAATTAGTTTTAAACATATTACCCCTATATATATATATATCGTCTCGTTTTATATCTAGTAAGATATATATCCGTACCATTTTACTGACACCATGGCATCAACTTTAACAAGACTTTCCGCAAAAACCGTAAAAGATATAAAACTTAATCTTTTTTGACTGGTTCCAATGCTTTAATGGCCTTCAAATCAGCATGAATAAAATAAAAAATAGGCCAAGGAATAAGAATTTAATGCCCAAAATTTGGTAATAATTATTTTAGTCTCTTGAGTCTTGACACCACTTTATATTAGGGTTTGACGGTTTTCTGCTAGTATCATTAATGCGCAAGAAATTTTGGTGAAAGTTTGAAAGTAAGACATAAGTTCATGGTCTAGTATCATTAATGCGCAAGAAATTTTGGTGAAAGTTTGAAAGTAAGACATAAGTTCATGGTCTTTTGACTATAAACACAACCATTTAACCGACCATTCGCACAGATGAAGGAGGTAGCAAACACCAAATAGCTATGACGGGGTCCTCGTGGTTCCACCGCCACTACAGCTGGTGGGTGCTGATCTGTGTCTGTCTCCGATCCGTAGCAGTGGGTTTACCTTACTTCAGTTACGGGGCACTGTTACCTTATCTCTCATCACTATTCTACCACAATACCGGCCAAATAACCAGCTCAGCAGCCATGTCCCTTCAACCGGTCATGTTAGAACTAGGGATTACTCTGACGGGGTCTTTGTCAGGAGTTCTGGAAAACTATATTAATATCAGATTCCTCAACTTTATCCTGGTTATCCTGTACGTGACTTTGGTTGCTTCATCATACTTCATCGACAGTTACATTCTCCTCACCGTAAATATGGTATTTGTTGGAACACTTTCAGGACAGATAAACGTGTGTAATGTAGCTAGATTGACAGAATGGCATCCAACGAAAAGTGGCACCGTGAATGGCATTATGGGTTTCTTCATGGGGATTTCAGGGGTTTTAGGTTCGTGCCTCTGTACCACCATTATCAACCCATCAAACAAACAGCGAGTGGAAGTTAACATGGGTAACACTACGGAGACGCTGTTCCTTGATGAGACAGTTGTGCAGCACATCCAGACAATCTGGCTTGTCTGGGCTGGCTTCATAGCTGGACTCTGCTTACCAGGACTGTTCATCCTCCGAGTTCCTGATGAGGAAGAAATGGCAGAGCTGCGCAAGACCGCAGCTCCTAATGAGAAGGAGATACTGATAAAAAAGGAGGAGAAGGACTGCAGCAGATTAGATCCCGATTATAATATCGTAGAAACGTTGAAACAGCCCAAATTCTACGTTCTTTCTTTTGTCGTCCTAACCTTATCACTTACTCTTCTCACTACAACACAGTTATACAAGATCATTGCATTGGTAGCGATAGACGACGACGGGTTTCTCAACATGGTCGGGGCTTCAGGGTCGCTTTCTAACGCATTCGGCATGATGATGTGGGGTATGATACTGGACCGTATTGGTACCCGCTACACTTTTACCTGTGCCTTCTTTTTCATGGGACCTCTAACAATCTCACTGCATTTCACTAAATGGAGCAAGTACGGATATCTTGCTAACCTGTGTTCCGCCACCTTCTGTACAGGCATCTTTACTTGTATTGCCCCGGCGTGCCAGGAGCTTTTTGGCGGGCGAGAGATTTCTTTAAAATACGCGGCATCTCTTGTTGCTCTTGGGTTTGGGTGTTTAGTTTTCTTTTTACTACAATTGGGAGAAGAATTGTTATTCGGGGAGCTGGCCTTCCTGAGCATGATAGGTGTTCCTTGTATGGTTGCTTCAGGGTTGGCTTTTGGTACATTGTCTGGCTGATATTTCAACTTTTGTAAAGAAATTTAAAAACAGTCAACATGCAGGTACTTTTCATTGCGTTCAGTTATTAGATTGGATATGATAGTCGTTCAGTTTGCAGTTTTTGCTTCATTGCTTTTTCATTTCTTAATTTGTGTGCTTTCTCGCTTGTTAATTACATAATTTGATTTTAAATTCTATGTGGAAATAAGTTTGACTTGTATTGTGAGGTTTTCAGATTGAAAACTATTTTTGATTCCCAACACAATCGTTTGTCATTGCATTCAATAGGTCTGTAATCTAACGTATCAAATCAACAATAAATTAGAAAATGGTCACCTGAAAGAACGGAGAAGGGGCGGCTAACATCACATCCCATAGTTTCAGTAAAGGGTTCAGATCGAACTCTCGCTTAAAGAATAGAAGAAACCAACGATGGCAACATGTCAGTGTTAAGGCGTCCCCTGAAATGAGACATTTTATAAAACTGCTATTTCAGCAAGTCATACTGAGGAAAATGTAATGTATCAGTCATGTTTATCCACTGGCAAAGTTGAACTTTTAATTTAAAATTTAAGTATCAAAATCTGATTTTTGGGATGAGGTATAGTCCCCCCCGGTATAGTTCATAAAATAGGCACGGCATTTCAAATATTAAGTGTAGAATACAAGAAAATATTCTTAAATCGCTTTCATGCAATAAATAACAAGTAAAATGTTCGCGTCACCTGTTGTACTTAGGTAGCTGTAAATATCAGGGAACAGTAAACCCAGGACTTCGCGTAGAAACGCTAGCTGTTGGTAAAGGTTACAGTATTGTAGTTTGCTGAAGGCTGAACGGTTCATGAAGAAGTCAAAACACCAGAACACTTCACTTTCTTCCCTGGTGAGGTGAAAATGTTAGAAATTCTAGGTATAAAGCACAGTATCGGGCTCTTGAACCCTCGAAATCTAATGTTTTCGACCACAAACAAGAAATGCGGCCGCTTTTCTTTTGTGGATGGCCGCTCAATTTCCCGATCCGTGATGGCCGCCCAGTTAATTTCCAGTTAATTCCATATTAAATTAAAAATCAGTGAACATTTTAAAAGTACCGGACAACGATAAAAAGGGGTACGAGTAGATCTGACATTCCTTGAACATATCCCATCTCGGGGCGGTGCAGGTAGTAATTTATCAGAATCCGCTTCAGCAGCGCCTGGTTAGGATTATCTGCTCCTGAATTAATATGGTCCGTTATCTGTCCGGTAAAGTGTGTGTGGGACAAGCAGAGGTCAAAGAAATCTAAACTTTTCTACAATTACTCTTTAATTTTTCAATAGTGTACCTGATATCAAGGGGTTATGTGAATCAGTTCGACAAACGTCTTTTTCTATCTCAGATACGATTGTACAAAACGCAGAGTGGTCATCCGGGTTGGACTGAAGGTCTGGTACCTGAGGATTTCACATTTAAATTAGATCATCAGACTACCAATTTAACCGGTATTAACCCTATTATTAGCTATTGGGATTCCTTCTTGAAGATGTCCCAATGACTGGCAATTTATCCACAGAAATCCACATATATGCTTTATATACGCGCGTGTGCGCTATAAAATCATCAATAATATCATCGCGTTTTACGTTAAATTTACAAGTAGACCTTATCACCAACATGGGGTACGTGTCTCAATGTCTCACCAACCTTCAGCTTAATATCTTTGTATTTCTCAGCGAGAAGTTGGTTTCTGAACGACTTTTGTCGATGAGTGTGAGAGTGATTGTGCAAGGATAGCAAACAACGCCAGATTTCGCCCCTAGCTTCATCACTAACTCCTCCTTTGTATACCAATCTTCGAGCGTGCCTTACATCTGAACCATTAGGTAAATTATTACGCAGTCAAGGGAACAAAAGCTAAAAGTGACTTAACTAACATGACATTTTCTGTGATATGTTTTTCATCAGAGTACATTTTTTCCGTTCACCATTTTGCGAAGCAAAAATTTCAAGTGAAAGGTTACGAATGGTTTGTTTTCTTGAAATTGTTGTTTTCTTGGCTGTTTTTGCAGAAAAAGAGGGATTTTGGAGAGCGAGGAAGGTGGGTTTCGATTTCGTTTCCGTTCGTCATACTTTACCATTACAGTGGTCTTATGCAACTGCATCTTTTACCTCAGTTTCATTTTGAAACGTCAAGTGACTGGTAAAGTCAAATATTTTGTTCTATGAACAGTAATTCTAGTATTTTGAAGTGTAGTAATTGTTAAGATCTTTAATTTTATACTAAATCATTGAGGTTTTATAACGTTTTACCGGGGTATAAGTTGTTAGGTGGGTATTTAAAATTAGTCTGTTGGAATTTAAAGATTTTGATCTCTACTATACTATTTATTGTTAATAAAATGCTTATTGTAGCCAGTTATTTTAATATTTTCATCATCATCATACCATGACAACGAGAAAGACGCGTGGGGCGTGTGTGGGTTGCTTGTGTATAAAACATGAGTATAGTTCACTTTTTGCTTCCAATTTCTTGATTACAGATTAAAGTTAAGTTCTACGGCAATTGAATTGAATCACAAGTGTTGCCTGTATTATCAAACATAATATTATAAAGTTAAATGATCAGAGCTTGTAATGAATGGAAATTTAGCGTCCGCCACAAAGAAAAAACGGGCGCAATTCTTTTTCTTTTCTTTTATGACAAGACATTATTGGAAAATGCAATGAAAATGTGTGCTACAAAATATAACAAACATTAACCTAACATGAAATTAATTTTTTGTAAATTTAATTCCAATTCTAATTCTAATTCTAATTCTAATAAGTCACATGACTTCAAACTTAAAACTTAAAAACTGGGTGGAATAATATTGGTCCTAACCGGTAACAGTTCCATTCTTGTTGAGATACCGTTGCCAAAGTTCTGATGTTACGGTCGGATACACAATACTTCGTCTATTCGGGACAATGAATATACCTGTAATTACCACAACAATTATTAACAAACAATAAAATGGTCGGGAACGCAATGTTATGTGATGTACAATGTACATTCTTTGCAAATGAATAAAAGAAATTGCACAAACTTGTATAATGTACAGTGTGAAAGTCCAATTATTCAATACATTTTTTTAATTATGAGAATGGTACATCACAATTAATCGGTTACACACCTAGTGGCGTTTCAGCTACTTCTGACTTCTGAACACGTGCCCAACCTCTTAAAACTTGTGTGAGTCGGTCCAAGCCACCTTTATTGAACACGAACAGCTGAAAATATTGATTTCATATATAAATTAAGATAATATATATACAGCAATATATTTATGCTCGTAACTTCGTAAGAAGAATGAAATAGGAGAAACCGGGTAACAAGATTAAATGGCAGAAATAACTGAAATCATTACAACAGTTCAAACCTTTTTCTGAAGATTATTGTTCGTGATTAGAAAATGCTGATCAATGAGGGTGTCAAGAGTTTTCACACACTTAACCCATTCCAGAACTATCTTAATCTCCTCTCTACCTTCACTACTACCTCCGCGTGATAACAAACCATTAAGTGACACTTCTGCACCACCATGCGGTGACACTATACCGTCACATGATTGGTTAGCTATCCAAGTGAGCTGTAGACCGTGAGGGAAGTTGGTAAGCGAGAAATAACCGTCGGTCAAATTTCCATCGTCATCTTTTAGGCCTACATTATTTTTACCTGAAATATGCAGTTAACAGATTTAAATTCGTATTTTAAAGATGATAACTAAAAAGCATTAATGAGATGGAGAGTTTACATATATATGTTTACCTATATTGCATTACTAGTTCTACTATAAAACTAGAAGTATAATTCTTCACTATCATTAAGAAATCACTATCAATATAGGACACAGTACACACTGACCTAGTAATAGATAATCCACTTTGTGAACTGACAGAAAACCCTCCTATCCTCTTTATCATAAAAAAACCTAAAAGAAATTGTTTTATTTAATTCCATTTATTACACTGTTTATTTGTCTATTTTGTCAATAATCAGCCACAACTATGAAACATCATAAAAGCTTCCATTTAAAAGTTCTCCAAAATATTACTTCTGTTCTGATGATTTTCTCTACACATAATATCTCTTCAAGAGCGGTAAATTAGCTTTGACCTCAATCGTATCTTGTGTCATCCATGGTGAATTCACTAATTGTTCATTCAAGAATCATTCAGTTGAAAGGTTGAAACAGTGAAATTTGGGTCGCCGAAATCTGAAATCTTAAAATGTTTTACCAGTAGGACATTTTTAAAATTTTCCTTTTATCAAAGTTTTCTCTGGATGTTCAGCTTACAGTACATTGATCATGACTTGTGTCACTCACACTGACCTCACTGATTGGTCACTGGTCAAAAATTCGGTCAAACTGTCACAGTTTGGTCAAGAAAGCTTCACGGGGGTGATGCAACGTCAATTAATGTCAATTAATGTCAATTAATGTCAATTAATGTCAATGTCAGTTTTGCAAAATTTTGGAATACTGACATTAATTGACACGATATTTTTCGACCAGAGATTATGTAGTTCTACCATATTTTTAGCACTTTAGAACGTTTATATCATCAATTTATTCACTACTATCACATATGGAAATGTGAAATGTGAAAAAAATTCAGATCATTAAATAATAAAACTAAAATAATACGGTTTTCCGAAATTAAATTTTCTTAAATGGACGTGGCCATCCAAGGGCGTGGTTCTCAACATCATCAGAACTTAAAACCCACATTAAACGAAATGCCTTCATGACATTTATATTTGAATAACGAATCTTAAACAGCTAACATTACTCCTTCATACTAAAAAAGCCGATTCTAGATATTTTACCTGTATAAGAAACCAATAAAATATGGGCGTGGCCGGTGGGGACCGAAGATGGAAGAGTTGGAAGCTGAAATTTTTTTTGGTGGTCTTTGAACCTAAGAATCAACAGATAAGAACATACTCATAATTATTCAAGGACATTTTGATTTTTTGAACCGGTCTAACTTACATAGACGTGAATATCTTGAATATTTATCGAATAATGATAATCTCAAATTTCAAGACAAATTAATGTCAATTAATGTCAATTAATGTCAATTAATGTCAATGTCAGTTTGGGGTTTTTATGGAATACTGACATTAATTGACGTTGCATCACCCCCAGCTTCACAAAACCTTCTAATTAAAAATCTTCCCAATTTTCTCTGTCTTTTCTAATGATTTTCTGTTTATCAAAGTTTTCCTTGGTAATCTAGCATTCAGTACCTCAATCTGAAAATGTCCCACTGGTACGAAATTTTCAAAATTTTCCTTTCATCCCAGTTTTCTCCGGATATTCAGCTTGAATGATTGATTGAGGAGCACTACCCAGAAGTATTACTCGGCACTAACGCCTTAAAATCTTTAATTACAATCAAATATACACATATGCCCATTCAGCTTAAATTACGACCCAAACATGAAATAAACACTATAACCTGTAGTTTAACGGAGAAAAACGGCAGCTTTTAGTTTCCTAAAGTCGTGAATTGGGACCAAAAATGAAACTAACTTTTAAATTACGACCCAAACGTGAAGTAAAAGTTAAAGTCGTAAGTTTGGATCACGTAAGCTGCACCCAGGAAACCCTACTGGCTAGGTTCTCTCTCCGGAAGTAAAAAAGATATCGAACTCCAAAAACATAAAACTATAACATCAGAGGAAACTCAGTTAAACAAAAAATTTCAGTTAAACAAAAATTTCAATTTTATGCCATTTATTACAGAATAAACAAGTTTACAATAAATCAATTTGATATTTAATGGAATCCTAATTCAGTGTGTAGTATGGCTGTCACTCTTTGAATAGATTAGATATAGGTTGACGGGGCAAAGGAGTGAGCGTGCTGTTCGCTATTGCTCACACCAAACTAGGCTATCCACTCCGATAATCGTAACCGATAATTATCTCCGATAATTCCTTAAAAAGTTATCTGTTTATCTAGATAAATATAGTAAATCTTTCAAAGTACGAAATATCTCTTTAAAAGAGCATCCTAGGCACCTTATAGATATCAAAACGCATAAAAAAGAAAACAAAAACATCAACCATCTTCTAACTTCTTCCACTCCTCCCTATCTAAAGCTAAAAATCTGAGGTCTTCGAAATCAGTCAAATTCTTAAGTCTAATATCAAGATTTCTACTAGTCAAGTCTTTTCTAATAACATCTAATAAGTTTAAACATGGTCTACCCCGTCTCCCTTCCATAAAAATATCAGAATTTATAGCAAATAACATAGAGGTGTATGCTGGTGAGTCTTCCTGTCCTCTTAAGATATGTCCTAACATTCTCCATCGAAACTTAGAGACTCTCACAGACAAGGGAGTGACATAACAACGGGCATAGAGTGCCTCATTAGAAATAACCCCAGTAGGCCATCTGATGTTGAGGATTCTTCGGAGGTGTTTGCGATGAGCAATATCAAGTTCATTCAACGAAGCTAGTGGTGCAGCCCAGGAGTTGCAGTTGTAGAGTAGAATAGAGACTACTTGTGCCTCGTAGATTTTGATCTTCCTTTGGACTGAAATCTTGCTCTTCATCCAAACTTTCTGAAATTTACTAAAGGCAACATTACCAAGGAATATTCGATTCTTGATATCCTTAACAGTGCACATCAACGATCCTAAAGTTTTGTTAGAGCGCCACTCTTCATCACCTCTATACACTTTTCCAACAATCACCTTGCGTTTAACAGTGGGTTTAGGATCTGCTAAATAAAAATGGACAAATTCAGTCTTGGAAGAATTGATATGAAGGTCCCACTGCTGGAATATATCTTTAGCGATAGGAAGCATTTCTTTGAGTGGAGCAAGTTCAGTGTTATTAAAGTCAATATCATCAGAGTATCCTGTTTCGAGTGGCATGAATTCTTCTGAGATAGGAGGATTAGGGATTGGATGATTCACTGGGTAAGGTGTTGATGATACTTGGGAGAGTACAGATCTGAGGTGAATAAGTGCAGCGGCTTCAACAACAGTAAATAGATTACCTGATAGTGCATCTCCTTGAAATGCTCCAGTTGTGCTTTGGAACTCAATTGATACAGTATTATTGACTTTTACTTTCAACACTGTGTTTGATAGTAGGAGCCGTACCATCCTAATTTCATCACTAGTACAGCCAGCATCTTCAAGAACATTGAGTCCTGTTTCTCTGCTGATGGTGTCAAAGGCACTTGACATGTCTATACTCATTCTGTGGTAGCTCCAATGCTTTCTAAGTACCACTGAGGTTAGCATACGTTGAGACCAAACTATATCGCCACAACTTCTACCTCTCTTGTAAGCACTTTCTGTAGGACCGGTGTACTGATCTAGCTTGCCTTGGATACGTTTTAGGGTAATCATTGACAGTAATTTTCTGGAGCAGTTTGAGAGGGTGAGAGGTCTGATGTATCTAGATAAAACATATTTTTATCGGTATAAAAATTCACTAGAAGAAATATTAGTGTTTTGCCTCTCTCTGTTCCCAAGTAATCCAAGAAACAGTCCCAAACGTCTTCTAGTATGATAGAAGAGGTAGTTTACTTTGATATGAGCTTAAGAGGTTTATTTACATTTTTATACCTATGGAACTGTAGAACTGTATGAACTGTAGAAATCCATAGAAGGTTATTGACATTGTTCTCTTGAGGGTGCTGGCGTTTTACCTTCCAACCATTCTGGAGACGGGAACGAGCATTTAACTGTTAACAAGAGTCAAAAATACCAGCAGGGCACTCAATTGAATTCCGTAAGTGTTCTTGGCGTGAAACATTGTCTTCAGGAAATGGAATCTGTTGCAAAAAGTTATCCACAGGATAAGGAAACGGTTCACAGAATCATTTTAAATGCTCTATAGTGTAGTCATTCTGGCAAAATAACGTGGACAATTTTTTTACAAAGGATTTTTGATTTCTACTTGTAGATATAGGTCTCAGCTAACTTCTTTCAAAATTCCCAAGAAAAAAACCTTGTGCAATTTGCGTGGCGGCCACGCCCCTTTTTTAAAGGATGAGGGGACCTTAGAATTTACTTCCAAATATTCGCGTTTAAGTCCTGTGAAAGTGTGTAGAATCAAAAAATACGCCGGACTGTGAAATCGATAATTCGTGCAATATCACGCCGCGCTCCTATTGGCTGATAGCAATTTTGGGCTGTGACGTCACTTATGTGTTAAGACCAACGTGCGCGCGCACGTTCTGTTTTAATTACGTCTTGTTACCTTTGGCGTTTGCGAGAGCGGTATCTTTGGTTGCACTGAATTAGTCTAAGTTACGAATAATTCTCTTTAATAATAATAGTTAAATGTAACTCAGAAAGACTTTCTTGTTATGTAGTTGTAGTAGGTATTTCTATTTATAAATAGCTAAGATAAGTAGTATCCGCTAACCAAACCACAAACTGCTATTTTGTTTTGACTTGTTTGAAACCCGATATGGACACAATTAAAAAGAATGTATGTTGTAGTAGAAGACATTTTACTAGCTGGCCCTTGGCGCCTCTAGTCCTATCTGAGTACGCACGTGCGGTTTGACACTGCGCGTGTACCTGCCTTTAGTTGTACACTCATTTATAATTTACCGTTTTAGTTTGCTGTGACTTGAGTGTAAAGCGTAACGAAGGTGGATGTGTTCGTCTGCTATGCTTGGTATAATATTGCTTGGTGTAATAGTTGCAAATCTTGCTTACGTTATAAGTAGTGTCACATAGTGAGTTAGAACTTAAAAGCTTGGTGCTTGGTGCTTGTCCAACTGGAATGAAGACATGCATTTCATACCTACCCGATCCACTTTTATTAGGACCGTGTTGTGTTGATATGACATGTTGATATATCAACTGTGGTACGAAACAGGGAGTTGCTAGGTGTTACGTTGGGAGCTATAAATATACATAATTTACATGCCTTTCTGTGTGACTTCAATCTTATTCCAGGTGTATCTCGGCTCATGGTTATCGTAGGGTGATAATTCTTTTTTCAACCGGTCATAAAAAGTCTCTTCTCCATTGGTTATAGGCTCGTTAGTATCGTAAATTGTTAATTTATTCTTAATTAGTAATTTAGTCGGCCCGCACGCTCATTTTACCTGTATTTCTATATGCGCGGATCAGAGCAACTCACATAATTGACGTCACAGGTTCAAATT